GAAATAATTTTATTTCATCCTTGTACGTTAAGCCGTTTTCCAGTAATCGATTTGAGACACCTCTCGAGGGACACCCTGTATATACGAACATCCTCTTTTATACTTATAGATTTACCAAGTGTAAATATATTATTAAAAGTGTTATTTGACATATTTTTGTACTTTCAGATATCGATTTACTTAAACATTCAGTTTTATAGGAGTACCGATATATACATCATAAAAAACAAGGTTTTTATGATCCACCAACATATTTGTTTCTGTTTCTGTTTATTTTTCAAAATAACTTTACAGTAGAAGTTGTGGCAAATGGGTTATTTCTGTTGAAAATGCCTGCCTTTTCTATTTATTTGTAATAGTCATACAGATGATATGAATGTTGTTTTTACTATCAGCTGTCTGTTTTGTTGTCCAATATTGTTCCTTGTCATGAAAACATTAATGAGAAATACATTTGATTATTTTATAGTTTAAATTCGTTTTTCGTTGTAGTTTTGCTTAGATTATCCCTAAACACCTCCACTTGGGAGAATAATTCAAGAGGTTATGGTCGCCAGCATCGTTTTATGTACATAACAGTGTTGGGAAATCTAGTCTACTACGTACACAGTAAGAACAATTTATACTGACGTATTTTTCTGTCTCAAGGGTATTATTTCTTTGGTATATCTTTCGATCGAGTTCGTCCAGCTCTACAAATGGAATACGTGAAAGGTATAAAACCATTGAAAGGAGCAGAAGATTGGCCGACGTGGAAAGATCGAGTGTTGGACGTTCTAGAGTTGTTCGACGCGGTTGATATCGTCGAGGGAAAGAGAGAAAAGCCTACCCTCTCTGAGCCTCCGACTAAAGCCGAAAAGGAAGAACTTCAGAAATTCAACAAATCCACGACTCAGGCAAAAATAGTTATTTCTCAGTGCGTTAGTGATGATCTACATCAACGTATTTCCAGAAGATTATCAGCTAAGGAAGCGTGGGACATTTTGATCGAGCAGTTTGATAACAAGGCAGAAGATCAGTTGTTTCGTCAGTGTTTGAATTTCTTCAGTATGGAATGGGATGATACCGAGGATGCCCCAACCGTGCTTTCAAGATTGAAGAATCAAAACCGCGAATTTGCAGCTGGCCTCAAAACGCGTAACATCCAAACAGTCGAAGATTTTCTTGAGCTCCTGTTTGTGTCAAAAGTGTTACACATTTTGCCGAAGCGTTTTGAATCGTTCAAGTCTAGCTACTTACTTATGAAGGCAAACGAGAGCAAGAAACTTGAAGATGTTTCATCTGCATTGATCCTTCATGAGCGTAATGTTGCTCCTACGTCAAAAGCTGGTGACATTCTTAGTGCCACAAACAGCGGTGGTCAGAAGAATAGGAAACCAAAAGGTGGCACTTTGTGCAAATACTGTTCGGGGAAAGGTCATTGGATTCGCCAGTGTTCTAAATGGAAAGCTGACGGCAAGCCTGCGTATCCAGCTCGAGCTAACGGCATTAGCACTAGTTCAAAAACGAGTGACACTGATAAGAAGAGAACGAAAGGCTCGCAAGTTAACGTGACCGACAACCGAAGTGCGCTGATTTCCATCAGCAGTGACATGAATATCATGACCACGAACGACCAGTGGTGGATCGACAATGGCGCTACGCGGCACATTACATCAAATCTGAGTTGGTTCACGGAGTACAAACCTTTTCCTGCAAACTCAAACGCAACAGTAAAGGTGGCGGGAAAGGAAGTTATAAAAGCTCTTGGCAGTGGAGTCGTTGAAGTAGCGAACTATGAAAATGGAAAACTGGAAACGTTCACACTCAACGATGTATGGTATGTTCCTGACGTTTCTCGGAACTTAGTGTCCATTCTCGCAGCTCATGATCGAAACCCTAATAGCAGGTTTGAATCGACTAATACCGAGTGTCGGTTCACTATTAACGAACAAACTGTATTCAAAGGTACTCGAAACTGTGGTGGAACTTTGTATCGTGCCTCATTTCACACAGTTCAACCATCTGAGGTTTGCGCTAATGCAGCAGAAGACAATCGCATTCTGCAGTTATATCATGAGCGCTGGGGTCACATGGATAAACGCTACGTCCGATCGAAGCTCGAATCTGAAATGGGTATCAAAGTGCCAGCCAACTACGAGATCTGCGAACCGTGTCAGTTCGGAAAGGCACACCGTCTACCATTTGGAACACGAGAACGCCCCTAGCCCCCGGTGAGTTGTTATCCGGTGATGTTTGCGGCCCGTTTGACCCATCCTTCGGAGGTCGCCGATACTTGATCGTCATAAAAGACCACTTTTCAAGGTACCGATACTGTTTTGTCGCAAGGGAAAAATCTGCTGTGAAGGAAGCGTTGCGTGAAGTGTTGTCTAAAGCACGCACAATTGGTCATCACGTCAAAGAGTTTCTTAGCGACAACGGTGGTGAGTTTGACAACGCTGAAGTTCGTCAAATCCTCAGAGAATATGGTGTTAACCAACGTCTGACAGCGCCGTATACACCCGAGCAAAATGGTGCTGTAGAGAGAGAGAACAGAACAATCGTCGAAATGGCCCGTATCTTCAAGTATGCCAATCCAAATGTGACATTTCCTGCAGCGATCTGGGCTGAACTTGTCATCACTGCTGGCTACGTTTTGAATCGTGTGGGAAAGTCAGCAGTTGCCAACAAATCACCTTTTGAGCTCTGGTTTGGTCAAAAGCCGAGGATCAAACATCTGCGAGTGGTCAGCTCAAAGTGCTACGTCCATGTTGCTGTGCAGAAGAGGCGAAAAATGTACAAGAAAGCTGTGGTTGGTTACCTGGTTGGATACGATGGCGAAGAACAATATCGAATCTACGTCCCAGAGAGAAGAGATATCGTAGTTTCTCGTGACGTCGTTTTTCAAGAAATCGTTGGAGACTGTGACAAGAAAGTTGAGTGGCCCATCAAGATTGAGAAAACCAATGACGTCGAAGAAGATTGGCAAGAAGTTGAAGAGACTATTAACGAGCCTAGTTCTCCAGTGAAGGGTAATAATGCGCCTATACCGACTGAAAACCCGTCAAGTAGCAGTGATAGTGAAGATGGAGAGTTATCCAACGATCCTGCAACTCGGCACTCGACTCGGGAAAGAAGGCAACCCGAGTGGCTAAACGATTACGTCTCGTCTAACTTTGCCGAAGTTCTTCTTGTTGACGATGAACCTAAGTCGTACACTGAAGCCATCAGTTCAGAAGATAGTGCTGAATGGAAAACAGCAATGGACAAAGAAATGGGGTCCATGCATAAACACGGTGCATGGGAATTAACCGAATAATGGGAGAATAATTCAAGAATTTCCAGGTATAGGTATTTTAGAAGAAGGTAACATGATATAAGGATACGGTAAGCCACAACAATGAACATGAATGCTTATAATTTAACAATCTAGTTTAATTTCTTTCAAACAAACACAAAACGGTAAAGAGGGAATTTGATCAAACAGTACCACAGCTGTCCTGTCAGTTGTACATGTCATCAAACACATCAAACTTGTCAATGTCAACCTTTATCAAGGTTTACTATTTCTTTTCACAATTTTCAATGTCATTGAGATTTGGATAAGGTAAGACTAGGTGGTAAAACTATCTGGTAAAATATAGCAATTGAAATAGATTTGGAGTAATGTTAAAAGTACAAACAATTTTTGCGTGCTTAAAAAAATCTTTCCCGATGAAGTTAACTTCCACTTACTTATGTTTCATCACAGTATTGCATTGTTCTTTTACATTTTTGTGATAAAAAACAGCTATTCTAATATTAAAAACTCCCTAGAGCTATAAGTGCAGTTGTACAAATCATAAGCTTAGAAGGCGGCAGACCTTAAAAGGATCAATTTCCAGAAAGTTGGATGCAATCAAACCTCTTTTAGAAAATAGCCACTCAATTGAGGGAATAGCAGGCACTTTTTATAATGATGCCATGTGCTTCTTGTCATTTTATTATAATATCTAATATCTTTTCTGATATTGATATGAGTGCCCAATCCAATAGTCAAATCAAAATTAAAAACAATTTGACACTTTAAATGCATTTACTGTGTTGTGTATGAATACAGTACAATTAAATATACCTTTCTCAAGTTATAATCAGACATTCATATATTAAAACGTGACAGGATTTTTTTTATTTCACGATTATGAATCAACCACTTGACAGATTTTCATGGTTTTTGTGTTGAATTAAAGATAATTTTGAGAACTAGGGAATGTCGAAGCCATCATTTTATTTTAGGGTTTCAGTTTTTTATAAATAAAGATTTAATTTTTTATACTTTGTGTAATGCTATTATCATTCATACGTTCATTTATTCGGTAAGTAGACGACAGATTATTCAAATATACAGGGGAATTATTAAATTATTATTCAGGGAATTATTCAGGGGGGGGGGGATTACTCAAATATATGGGAAATTCGCTAATAACAAACAAATAAGTAGGCCTACAGCAGCTGAGGTATTTTTAACATTAGATATATGGAAAGTTTCCTTTAGAAAGGAATTACGACCTTAAAGGGCAATTTATGAAATAATGGATGGTTTTGCGCAAGGTTTCTCGTCATGACGAACATTTTAAGAATATGGTTTAAGGGGGTGTGACTCGTAGTTTTCTCAAAAGTTCATAGGTACTTTGGGATTTATACATGGATAAAACTGTGTTTTGAAAGATATTTCTCAAAGCTTCATAAGTTGAAAGAAATGGAGGAAATGTTTAATTTATAATATAATGCATAACAATACAAGGGATAGTATTATTACCGTACTTTTATTCTTGTGTTTACGCCAGTACGGCATTTTTCCAATATTGTCTTAATCTGTAGGATATTTTTTAAGAAACCTTTTACAACAATCCAACCTTATCCTGTCCAATCCTTATCCTTTCACAAGTTAACATTTTTGTTGTTTTTAAATTTTGAGTCAATCCATACTAACAGACAATTTATGTTATTTATTAACATAATGTTTGAGTGTGTTTTGCCAGATGCTCGCAGCCTCTCTGGTCTTGGTCATAACATGGACCACTTCCCAGGTGTATGCAGGGTGTGAAACAACCACACCCATAGACACCCTGAACATCAAACAAGTGAGCTAATATTATGTAAATTATACTACACACTGTACTTGTTTGTAAAGTGTTGGTGCACATTTGCTCAGGACCATTGTTTAATTATAATTTTTCCTCAAATCTATATTCTATTTATTTTAAAAATCAAATTTGTTGGGACTTACTTAAATTAATTTGTCTGCATTATTGATGGTAAACATATCTTTCCTATCTGATGATGTAGTTCCAATAATGGTGGTGAGTGATTAGGTACCATTCTAGTAAATGCATGAAATAATGTTTCAATTTATGACATCATGATATTTTGGTTTATTACCTACTTTCAAATTTTAAGAATATTAAAGTAGTTATTACCTTTTTAGCGAATTTCCCTTTAGGGAAGTAGCTATTTATTGTTGCCTGCGTTCTTGAGTAGTTTAGTTTACTTTAAATATTATGCTTTGTACATTTTGCCAGCTTGTGTGGCATCTTCAGGGGTTCTTCTTATGTTATCACACTAAAACTAATAATATTATCTAATATATTTAACACACGTGTATTAGAGTTGGAACGATTGAGTAACGCCACTACGGACATACGGCAAAGTTATGTTGGCAGAAAAGGTCTTTCTTCCTCTGTTTCATTTTTTGAATGTTGGAATTTTGTGGTGTTCAACAGCTGCGGGTACGGGATTTCCAGTGTTATGGTCGGGCGGATGCTTTTATCGTTGTGGTATTGCCAGTTTGTTGCTGTTCTTCCAGTTATAAATCTTAAGGGTTGGGATTGGTAATATTTTCAAACTATTATATTTTTTGTATACTATGAAATAGCTGATTACAAAAATATCATGAGGACTCAAAAGTATTGCAACTTAAATAGATTGGTTTTAAACAGGTGGAATAAACTTACATACAACATACTTTCTTTACACTTCTCAATGGTGTAAATCGAATGTGTGTGGATTGAAATGATTGTGAGAGCTAAGGTTGGTTCATTTGAGAAAGATATTTGTAAAGCACGGATCGAGTAGTAAGGTACAGAGAAAATATTCAATGGTACATTTAAGTAGTTTTTACACTAGTTCTGGTGTCTAGGGTAATCTCTAGTCCCGATGTCCATAACCGCCCTCCTCGCCCTCATGTACTAAAACGCTCACGGTGGAGGAAGACTCTGTGTCCTGTGGGGTAGGAATTTCTGCTCAGTGCTCGTCACTTGGGCTCTTCCTTGCTCATCACAAGTATATTTGTTATTGGTAAAACATACTAGTTAAAAGCGCACAGTAGTTCCATAAGCGTGTTTCCTCTGTACCTTACTTCTCTGAGGTTAAAGTCATGTCAAAGCTGACAAAGTTGGATACGAACATGAACCTTTATTAATCATGTTTTTACATTATCCTATTAATTGAGCAGTAAGCACAGTATTGTTCTGTGTTCAGCTGGAAGGCAAGTGGTACCGTCTGCTCAGTTTTGGGACTTTCACAATGCACAGGCTGAGCCGCTGTCATGAGACCAAGATCACAGCCAACAGTGATGGCAAGGGATTCACCATGGACAATGATCGTATAGCTAGGCTGTAGGTATCACATTATTGCTCAGAGTATTTACCTTGAAAAAAAAGAAAACACAAAGTTCTTACAGACACAGCAAGTATTATATACTTTTCTACTTTCCCATTTCTAGCAACTTTGCAATAAATCAAGTAAATTTAAAATATCTTAAATTATAAGGAAAATAGGCTAACGTTTTTACATCCACATTTACACGAGGCCAGTGGGTAGGCTGGATACCTCAGAGAATGTCTCAGGTAACTTGAAAATGTGAAAATGTGAGGTTGGCCTCTTGTAAATGTGGCTTACCCACCAAAAATGTACTCTGTACTCTGTAAACGTGGCTTTAAAAAAAAAAAAAATATATATATGTTGGCGGCCTCTTTTAACCTTGCATTTGCCCGTCCACATAGACTACAGATCTGTGCGTGGAACGTATCCAGCAAAGCAAGGGGTGAGCCGGTACAGTACAAAGGTGAACTGTACTGATAAAAGTTAGTCAGGATCCGAACCCACGACACTTCTGCCTTGGGCCCGAAGTCCGCGTGGCTACCGACTGAGCCACCGACTCACCTACTCACCAATTAAGCTTATTGCTTGGCTTTATTGCTGTGTTGGCTGGTTCTGTCCCTTCTTTTAAACTGCACTATATGAGGCCAGTGGGTAGGCAGGTTACCTGCCTCAGGTAACTTGAAATACTAAAGATAACATAGCCGTAGCACTATAAATAAAAAAATTCCAATGTGTTTGTAAACACAAAATTTTGAACATTTCAAGGCCCATACTATAGGATGCTAAATGCGCCGTGTAAAATACACTGCACTATTTTTCGTTTTGGATGACAATGCAAGTCAATTGTAGCGACTACACGAGCAAACTCTACGCAGCGCGACGCAGATAGCGCAGCGCAATGCTAGTGGCCGGACTGTACGGACGCTATATACTTTGCGCGCAGACTTGAGCAGTGAGTGAGTAATAATCTGAACCAATTATGCGCCGAACTTTAGCATTAACGCAACGCAATAACGCGACTTTTAGCGTCTGTATAGTATGGGCCTAAGACATTTCAAATTTGGCCATTATAATATGTCAACAGTTTTTGTTAACATTTATTCCAGTGGTGTCATCGGAATACTGAACGACAGTGACAAGCACAATAAAGCTCAAGTGATTAATGACATTTTAAATATTGCACTTCATGGTTGTAGAGGGTTTATCACAGTATCATAGCTATAACCAGACAATATTTTGTAGGATAAACACTCACTATACGTCCACCTGGAGTGTGAAGACCAAGAGTGACAAACCTAGTGGAGACCTCACCTTCAAGTCCTCAATGCCAAGTAAGACTAACAGCTTATGAGGTTTTTACTACTTGTAAAATGTCAACATTCTAACCAAGTATACAGTATATAACTTTTAGAACACAAGATTAGAAGAAGCTTTTTGGTTAAAAGATTTTTTTTATTGATACTTACTTCTGCGGCTCTACAGACCTTGGTGGCATGTGGCTTACACTACAATTCACCTCCAATCGCCTCGATTTTGCGCCATCTCTCTCAAATTGCTCACTCTCAACGTCCTCAGGTCATCATCCACTTCATTAAGCCATCTTCTTCTCGGCCTACCCTTCTCCTAGTCCCCGTTTGATGTTCTGGCACAATAGTTCTTTGGACTGTCTTCCTTGAGGCATTCTCTCCACATGGCTTAACCAACCGATCCTTCTTACTTTGATGAAGAGCACAATATCCCCCCCCTTGCAAAATGTGATTTACGTACTTCTATATTCTTCAATACTCTCAATCTATCCTCTTCCTTCACCGCTCTATGTGTTCTTCTTATTATTTTCCTTTCTAACACTCTCAATGCCTTTGTGTTCACTGCGGATTGGGACCAGGTTTCTGCACCGTACGTAACAACAGGCATAATGAGAGTCTTGTACAGCTTTATCTTTGTCTTGCGGGTCATTAGCTGGGATTTGAAGATACCAAGGTTAGCAGAATATTCTCTGTTACCAGCCATGATTCGGTTTGTGATTTCATGCGCAACAGTGTTTTGCTATTCAGAGCTGCCCCAAGGTAAACAAACCTATCCACAACTTTAAAACAATAGTTGCCTACATCCAAGGATTCTCCTTCTGGCTTCCGCTCAGACATTTTTATGTAGTGTGTATTTTGATAATTTATTTCCAGACCCATGATTAGCCTCCTCTTCAATTTAGTCTGAAACATTTCTTTTAGGTCTTCAGATCGTCTAGCAACAAGCCCTATGTCATCAGCATAGGCATGCGCTTGTATCATCCTACGAGTGATGTTCCTTCTCAGGTCTAGTCTAAGCATAGCACTATGCGAGGCCAAATTGAAAAGCAGAGCTGATAGCGCATCACCATGCCTGATACCTCTTGAAATCCTGAACGTTTTACTTTGTTTACCACACACAGCTACTAATAACCTATAAGTGTGTTCTAGTGTAACTTTTGTGAGCCGCGCCAGCTTCCACTCAAGGGCATCAAGTAGTTTTCTCTTGTCTAAACTGTCAAACGTCTGTTTAAAGTCAATGATAGCAACATGTGCAAACAATTGCTTATTCATAAGTCTTTTCCATAGTCTGGCGCATGTTAAATATTTGATCAATAGTTCCTCTTCCTGGCCGGAACATACATTGGTACTCCCCGAGTCTTTATCTGGGAAGGGGCCAAGTCGCATGACCAAAATAGCAGAGAATATCTTGTACAACGAAGTGATACCATGAAAGTTACTGCATACTAGTGTGTCATTTTTTTGTATACAGGAGTAATTACTCCATTGTCCCAGTTGCTGGAAAGAGATTCCTGCCTCCATATAATTAATATAAGTCTGCGTAAACAGCACGCCACTTCATAACCTCCATGCCTCCAAAGCTCAGCACTAATCTCATCTTCTCCTGGTGTTCTGTGGTTCTTCTGCTTCATAATACATAACTTGACCTCTTCTAAAGGGGGCTCTTCAATCTAAGAGTAAGTATTTTTTATTGTTCTTTGTCAAATCAGTTCTTTTGTTCATGGTCAAATATTATTTTTATGTATGTATAATCATTTATTGATTTCATTCATGTATGTTTACAGTTATCGGATCCTTTGTGACAATGCCCCTAAAAGTTCTGGGTACGGACTACAAAAACTATTTAATACTGCACGTCTGCCGAGAGTTTGCATACTTCTTTAGATACAGTACGTAAATCAACCTTGTTTACATATGATTAGATAAGAGGAAATTATGAATTTTGAAGAAGGTTGAATAAATTTGCATTCACAACTGCAGGGCCGGTTTTAGACATTTTTCTAGCGTAAGAAAACAACATACTAGCTCCCCCTAAAAACTTATAGGTATGGTAGTAAGGATTATCTCTGAATAAATAAAAAAAATACGAGTAAATATAAATGCTTAAAAACGTCTGAAACGTGTGAACGTCTGCCGAACGAGTGCAAATAAATAATAAATAAAGTAGTATTATGGTATTCGCAAGAGTATCTTTTCCCTATTATCCGATTTACCTAACTCCTTACTACTAGAGTCCTACAATGTGGCGATGTAAACCAACTTAAACCTCTAGCATTGAATATATAACTCTATATATGAAGCGAAACCTTATGGACATATAGGGAATACGTGAAAGAGATTAATCTAGGTGCCCTACCAATACTTTTGCTGGCTCGTGTCGTGAGGGTTGGAGATAGGGATGAGTCTGATATTCTTGATTCCGATTCTCAATACCACCGATACTTGGACATCGAAAAAGTCGATGCTGATACCGGTACTCGGTACACCTGCAAAAATTGTGCAATCGGAATGCCACGGTCGAGCATGACAACGTTAACGTTTTCGTGACGGAGATGCCACAACATGACTGTGGGAGTTGTTCATGGGTTTTCTGTGATCTGGGAACATGATGATAATGTTTTCGTTACCACGAAAAATTATCATAATTTTTCTGTGATCGCAGCAGCAGATCATGATTTCTAGATGACCAGTATTTTGTCGCAATCGCGAGAGACAATGATGATACGGCCGTAGGAGATGTTCATAGTATCATATATTCAATACCTCTATAGTCTTCTTATTTAATACTGAAGATTGGAGAGCGCTTAGACACCCATTTTGCTTGGCACCCTTCGTGAGCGTATGCTTTGCTTACCCCTTAAACCGGCCCTGCACAACTGACCTTGTTTTCCAAATTATAAAAAAAAAAACTACGACTGTTATACCAGCTAATCATTGATAGATTAACATTGATCAGCTGATTATTATTTTATTATTATTGTTTTTGTTTTTATTTTACAGTTTAGTTTTTTCTATTTACATATTCAATAAAATGATTTCTTTAAATCGGTTAGAATCTGTTCTTTTACTAAAACTCAACAATAACAATATAAGGTAAATGCACCAGTAGCTGACAGTGCTCCAGAAGCTGACAGTTTGAGTTTCTTAACATTATAATGTGGCCTCTTAAAAATATTTACACATGATTGCATTGTTAGAAGAACATATGTTTATTCTTGATTTGTTTACAAAAAAAATCATTTAAATTTAGCCCATACTTGCGGAATGGTGGTGGTTTGAAAGCGACCCTGTCCGTACACATCACATTTAGTCGATTCCCTTAATGAAATTGTTAAGAAAGTTAGTTTGGTTTTTTGTCATTTCGCTAAATTTCTTAAATAGTATTAATGATTAGGCTCATTATTTTTATCAATTATACCTTTGTTGACAATTTCATGAAAAAATTGGGGCGTTAGGGCTTTTGGATTTAAAATTATATCAATGTCAGGCTTTGGTACACAAAAGCCATACAAGTTCCACTAGCTGACAGGGGATATTTGCTACTTGCACAATATTAAATTGGTTTCACCCATCGAAATTTACATGCTATTTATAATTTATGTGATCTCACATTTTTATAAAATGATTTTAATTTTTTAATTTATAAGCCAAATTATCTTAAAAAATGTATATTTTTTAAAAATATATATATAATATATACAGGGTGACAAACAAGTCTGGAAACGGTTTAATATCTTTTTAAATAAATCCGTTAGAAAATTCAAACCTTTCACATCAACTTACATGTATGAAAACTACTTTTTCCAAGCATTATCATTTTTTTACCTCTACCAGGGGACGGCCCACGAGGAGTAGGTACATAATCTTTAATGTAAGCATATGTTGATATGCACATCATTTTAAAGGTCTGGTCAAGTGGAGTTCATTGCCGGAAACTGCGTCAAAAAAGGTTCATCCGTTACAAAATGGCGGCTGTCCAAAGTTCTTGTGGAATATACCCGCACAGGCCTTAGTATTGGTAAATACTCGTATTAAACATTAGCTTGAGAGCTGAAACTGTATTTTAAAGTCAACTAGCTCATAGATTAATATTATAAAATCTTCAAAACAAATTTAACCGAGTTTCAGATTTCCCGGCTAATGTTGAATATGAGTATTTACCAATACTAAGGCCTCTGCAGGTATATTCCGCAAGAACTTTGGACAGCCGCCATTTTGTAACGGATGAACCTTTTTTGACGCGGTTTCCGGCAATGAACTCCACTGGACCAGACCTTTAAAATGGTGTGCATATCAACCTATGCTTACATTAAAGATTATGTACCTACTCCTCATGGGTCATCCCCTGGTAGAGGTCAAAAAATGGTAATGCTTGCAAAAAGTAGTTATCATACATATAAGTTGATGTGAAAAAGTTTGAATTTTCAAACGAATTTAGTTAAAAAGATATCAAGCCGTTTCCAGACTTTTTTGTCACCCTGTATATATTTTAATGTAAATATCATTTATTTTAAAATATGTAAAATAAATTTTCTTAATAACGTTTTATGTGATTTTATAATTTAATTATTAAGTTAGATTTTATTCGTCTTATAAATTATAAAACCTTTAGGTTTAGCAGCTAGTACACTTAAGTTCCAGTGTCAGCTACTGGGACAACTGACAGTCAGCTACTGGTACAAGCACTTTTTTCACTGTCAGCCACTGGAACACGTACAAAGGTTGAATTAAGTTTAAAAATGTTATAAAATATATTTAAAAAACCCTTTTTGTATGACAAATTTGAAAACTACACTAAATTTAGAATCACATAAAATCCGTAATATCTCTTTAGTTCCTATTTATTCAAAACCACGGATTATTAAGTGCGTATAGTTTCTTATACTGTCAGCTACTGGTGCGTTTACCTTAGACTGTGAAAGTCATAAACTTAAAAGTTGGCTACAGCTGGTCTATGAAAATTAGACCTCTAGGACTACATCCGTAGCAAACGTCAATGACAGTGTATATAAACGTAATAATATGATCTGTCAGATATCACAATTACATGTTGTAATATTCTGTAACTCTTTATCTTCATTGTACAGTTTTGTGTTGCAGGTGCCGGTTATGTTCTTACAAGAAAGAGGAATTATGAAGCAAAAGAGCTTGAAAGCATTTATTCCTCTATTGATGAAATTCTGAAGAAAAATGGCCTTAATCGTAGTCAATTCACGTTGACAAATCAAACTGACTGTGAAGCAAAATCATTGACTGATTTAAGTCTAACACAGACCAGCAGCGCTGCAGAGGGGACAAAAATATCGGACACTTCAGGAACTGTCGTTAATTTTTAATAAATTATGTTTGAAAAATGAATTAGCTTAATGGCTAAAATAGATAAGAAAAAATCTATCCATCCATCCATCTATATATATATCTATACTATTATAAATAAAGAAGAGGTGGTGTCTGTGTGTTTGTATGAGCTAATCTCAAAAACTACTGAACCTACTGGGCTCAAATTGTACACAAATGAAGCTACAGCTCCGAGGATACATATAGAACTATTCCCGCTTCGATATTGTCCTAGGGCTCTGCCCCGTGGGCTTTCAAAAATTTGAGGTGAGAGATTTAAAAGTAAATATTAATTTATGGTATCCATGGTAACAAAAAACAAACCTGCAAAGTTTAAAAATGTAAACAAGCAGAACTAACTGTCAAATGAATTTTGATTTCACAATTCCACACAGCTGCTTCAAACATATTAAATACTGCACGAATATTAGAACAGAGAGGGTAAGGATAATAAATTTTAAATAATGATGTCACTAGCCTGAATGTAAACATTATTTAACATTACTTAAATGGAGCTGTCAAACCATATGTTAATGTAATTTCTTTAGTTTATGATTCTTTCAGTTACTTCATTTGTTTATGTTTATGATCTATTATTCTGAGTTTGTACTAATATTTGTGAAATGCTGTAATAATATTTTACAGGGAACAATTCGTTGTAAAATAAATCATTCATGGATATAAGAAATAATTAAGATTCTATAATAATTGCCAGGCCATTATCCTGAGTTTTATGAGGTTTATTTTTTTTATTTATTTCTGTGTAAACAGCAATATAATCCCCCTGCCGCAGCAAGTCTATGGACTGAGTGAATTTCCATTTTCCTGATTATAATTTCACTAAAATATTGTTGTATAAAATTACCCTATTTTCCATATTTATTTATATTTTCAATTTTTTTCTATTTTTCGGTTTGTAACTGTTGTGTTGGTTTTTTTGTTTAGAGTGCAAACCATTAAACACGTTCCTTTACTGTACCTTAAAATCTATCATTGGTTTTGTATCGTAGGTAGCCTAAATAAGTATGAACGGTATTAGTTAACCAAAACGTACTATTATCGAGTTAAGTTATACAGTTATATTTTGTTTCTGAATTAAATGGTAGGAGTGATACCATTTGGTATTTTCAAAGAACCAAAATTATCTCTTTTGCATGTGACAAATACACTTAAATAAATACTAAACCGATAAGGTTGAAATTTGGTGTGATGATAGCTGACATTCCCGATTAATATATAGACATATTCTTACCTCAAAAACACTTTTAGGATCGGCCCCAGTAGCTCTGGCTCTGGATTTTCTCATGTTAGCCTTATGAGTATTCATATTAAGGGAATAAAAGAATTTTGTCAGCCGTTTCAACTGTACAAGTTGGTTCTATGATATTAAATAGCATTAAAAGTAAGGCTTACCAACAAGGTGCAGCACTATTATGTTTTTTGCATTTATTACAACAGCTAATTTGAACCAACTAACAACAAAAAGTTGTGGTACACAATGAAAGCTTTAATTTTTCTATGGTTTAGGTGCAGTTGTAGAAAATTAGGGCTATGGTAGATGTGTGCTACACCATAGGATTCCGTATAAATTTAAAGACCAAATTTCCTTAAACCGTGTCCTCTCCCGTAACTGCAATAAGCATTTTATACTTCTATGCCAACCCCGTACGAAGGACGGGTACTCTGCTAGTAATTTAAATAAAGTAAACTTTTGTATTAGTCAAGCTCGTGTATTTCAAGTCGGCGCGGCTCTATAACTGCTTATATATAACTGCAAGGGGATGATGAAACCGCCCCGATATTTTGGGTAAGTTTTAAATGCTGAAACTGCCCCGCTCATTACAGAGCATCAAGAAGGGTCACCTCGCCATACCAGAAATGCTGAAATTGACCCGAGCGCCCGGCCAGGTAGCCGCTACGGGTCTGGGGGAAAGGGAATTGTTGTTGTCCCTGCGTTCTGTCAGTGGCTGCAGTCTTCTAATAACTACCACAAAATATCAGGACTTACTAGCTTATTTTAGGTTAGGTATTGGTACAGAAACAAAAAGAGGGAATTATTGTTGTTTATGTGTTCTGTCAGTGACTGAAGTCTTCTAATAACTACCACCAATATCAGGAATTTCTAGCTTTTTTAAGGTTAGGTTAGGTTGGGTTAGGTTAGGTTAGGTTAGGTATTGGTACAGAAACAATTGTGGCTTGGTAGGAAAAACAGTCGACGGCAGCTTTAGAAGACTGCAGTCACAGATAGGGCACAGGAACAAAATAATTCCCTTTTGTCCCCAGTCCTGTAGCGACTACCTGGCCGGGCGCTCGCGGCAATTTCAGCATTTCTAGTCTTGCGAGGCGACCCTTGCTAATCCTTTTTAATGAGCGGGGCAGTTTCATCGTTTCAAAAGTACCCAAAACGTCGGGGCAGTTTCAGTACGCCCAACTGCAAATATGATTAAAGTAAAATATGGTGTGTGTATTTTTAAAATCAATAAATTGTAGCTGGCTAACATATATATATATATATAAATAACAGACTGAATTGTTTTGTTTGTATATCAAAGGAAGTATTTTCTTGTATATTATGTTTACTTCAGAATGAATGCATTATGAAAATAACACACACAAATGTTCTATATGAATAGGAAAATAATTTATTTTAAAAATGTTAGGGAAAAGAAGCTAGTTTAATATTAAAACGTTACTTTTCCAAGTTAGAAACATTTAAATGCATTATAATATTTTTAAAGATACTCGTTAATACCACTCTAATGCCGATCTTTGGTTACGGTAATAAAATAACACCCAAGGCATAACTATGAAAAAGACATGCAGATTAACACCTTTAGTTATAGATAGTCACCTGCAATATGGACATCCTCTTTCAATTTTGTATCAAAAATCATCATAGAGCCGCTCCTACTTAAAATACGTGAGCTTGACTAATACAAAAGTTTTACTTTATTGAAATTATTTCATTCTTTTTAGAGCGTTTGAAGTAGCTTGTATTTTTTTACAAAAATAAATTATTTATTTTCACAGTCACAGTTGTTGTTTTCAAATCATTGAATTGGGAAAGAATTATTTTAGAGTTAATTAACTGCATGCATGACAGTGTTGCCAATCTTAACAGTGAAATGTTATTTAGGTTATAAATGTGATATAATAGAATTTGATTTAATAACATGTTTTTAATATTGAAAATTAATTGTAATTTATAATAATAATAATAAATTGTAAACATAATCATTGGTAATGAATTTTGACTGACTTGTTTGGAATAATTGTAATAAGATTGAAATAATGAAAAATACCCCCGCCGCAGCAAACCTGCCGTCTAAGCGAATTTCCATTTGGCTGAATTGATTTTCAATTGATTTATTTAAATAACATTAGGTTTAACGAGTACCTAGGTTTGCTGCTACAAGGAAACTAATAAAGTACGTGTTTTAAGTAAAATAAGTATTGCTTAGTATAAAATGAATATATTTGCCAAGTTTTATCAAAATATATCCATAAACAAGCAAACTACAACATTTTACAATATTCTCCATAAGAATAACATGGGAATTTTAAATTTACCATTTTTTTTAGTTTTCTCCGTAACCAATAACTGTACAAAAACACTTTGATATACTGAATTGTTTGTTTTTTAAAGCTCTTTAAGAAGGTTTAGAGAAAAATTGTTAAATTTTGTGTATTGAGGGTCAAAAGTGAGAAAAACCAATTTTTACCCCATAAAACCCCCCATAAAACCCTGTTCCCATGATCCGATCATGCTGGATCGCGAACTCATTCAAGTTTATCCCGCCTTACACCTTCAAACCAAATTTCATCAAAATCGGATAAAAATTACTCAAGTTATCGTGTTCACGGACACATATATATATAAATCTATATATATATATATATATATATATATACATATATAAACATTTGAACGAATGGTGTTTTTAGCCTCTGGGGACACCAAAATGAAAAAGTAAATCGGTCCCGGGCCTAAGTCTTACCATGAGACCTACGGTAATAGCTACTTCCCTATAGGGAAATTCGCTAATAATAAATACTTAACAAATACTTAAAATATCTTTAACTGCTGCAGAATAGAAGAAACAACCGACACTTAAAACTTAGTGTCTCACTTGAAATAATAGCACTCTACAGCAACATGAGTAAAACACTTCAATCTAGTTAATCAATTAATTGTAAGTCCCAGTGTCCCAGATTCGGAAATGATCAGTATGTCATCTTGGAATGAACCTTAGACCAGACGTGGTCAAGTTCGCTTCTATTCATCAAGCTCAGTATTCTCATTGAAGTTTTGTATTAAATTCTTATTGTATTTTCCTTGCAGTATAATTCGTTTTATCACAGAAAAAATAGTGATTTTCAAATAACATGGTGAAGATTCTTTCTTCATATTATTTTATGAAATATCATTAGAAAACACTGAATTATTTTTAAAAAATTACTTAAAGTTGGATAATGGGTTAGTTGAGAAAATAACAAAAATAACAACAACAAAAATAACAAAGAATAAGAATTTCATGTGTAATTCTCCAAGGTGACTAAGTGGTACGCAAATAGCTATTGTCTTGTTGGGTGGTATACATAAATAAAAAATATTGGGAAACACTGCATTAGAGGACAACAACATGTAAAATGTATCATTAAAAGAGTATATTCACCAGGGTAGTTTTTGAGTATCATCTTCTCTTTCATGATTTTATCTTAAATCATAACTGTTTATTTAAGTCAATAAAAAATATACAATTAGTAATGGCTAGTTTATTGAATCCCTAATCACCCTTCCTGTAACTGAGAGCTAAACCCTAAAGAGATTATACCTACATATTTACAAACACTTATGAACCAGGGCCATCAATGGTTCATAGTGAGAGCTATTTCCAACTATTTATAAAGTTGTAAATACAGTCAAAAAATTATGTTAATGTTTTTACGCCACACTACATTATTTTGACGAACTTCCCACGCAAGGATTTAGTCCAGAAAACAGCTGTTTGCCGCCAGTTTAATCAAATGGGGTTTCATTGCGTACTACTGTACTGCAATGAGTTTTGCCGGACACCAATCAGCTGATTATACTGTATTTAGGTGGCAGTGAGAGGTTATAAACAAAAACATAGAGGTTATCACTAGTGATTTTTAGTCCTTTAGTTGGTGGAAAAATATAAGGATTTGTACGGATTTAGTAGTATGGCGTAAACTATCGTACGTAACTCGTCCAAAATGTGTGTACCGGACTCGTATGGTAATCCCGTACTCGACTTCGTCTCGCACGGGAACGACCATACTCGTCCGGTAAACACCTATTTTCAGGACTAGTAACGTAATATACTAATTACCTACGACCGTTTTTTTAAGTAGCCATTTCAGTTCAGTTCTTAGAATTGAAAAGTTTCACTTAACCGCAGCTGTTTACTTTCATAACAGCATAGTTTTTCACATAACAACACGGGTAACGGACCAATGAGGTTCAAGGATTGAGAGAAAAGAAGTAAAATTTTAATGCTTCGAACGTCAACTAATCAGCTGATCAGTCAAAAATTTTAATTGTTGATCCGACTTGTTCTGGTTGATACTCGCGTATTCTTAACCTATTGGTGGATGTTAAAGGAATGTAGATTAAGCTGATTTAAAAATGTCAGTTAGTGAAAGTGACGAATGACTGAAGTTGACGAGATGGAAATGAGAGCACAAACTGTTTGTGCTAATCTTATGCCACCAAAATCGAAACAAAATAAGGTTAAATTGATAAATGAAAATGTACTTCTGGTTTGTTTTGAGAACCTCTTAACCACCTTTTCACCCAACTCGTTGTGGACCACATATTCGATGCTGAGATCTGACTGTAAATTAACTGTTTCACTACATTGTTCAGTTGTAAAAAATGCAATATTTCCCTAATTGTGCCTGATACAGTATTTATGGTAAGAATGCTGCTAGTAGAACCTATTCCCTGAAAAATAACGCATTATTTAACGAAGTTTTACAAACACGTAATTACATGAAATCATCTGATAATACAAAAAGTCGATGCATCACTTTCAGTGGCAATGACAATAAACGAAAACGTAACCTCTCTAAGAAGTTATGAGTAGTGATTGTTAGTTATTAAAAACCAGATTGTTAGTAATAAAAAAAAAAAACTTGTAGGTAAAGTAGTGTACGCAACTCGCGTTAATAGTCTTTACGACACTCGTAGAAGTTTTTAAGGCACTCGCCAAGGCTCGTGTCTTAAATTTTCTACTCGTGTCGTGAAGACTAACTTAACGCAACCGTTGCGAAAACTACTAGTACAGAACTCTAATTCTTCATAAATTTAATTTATTATCATTCTGCTTTAGTGGTACGGTAACACATAGTTTTGAATAAAATATTTTTATGTTCCAAAACAGCTAATACCGCTAACTATAGTCTAATTCAGCCTTTAAGTGCATTTGCAAAATTATTTAAATTCACTCTTTTTAGTAAGAAATACTTTACAGTAACTATAATATTAAGCCATTATCTTGTGATAAGGGTTGATTTTATTCCTATTATTGACGATAATTGTTTTTAATTTATTATAATTGAAACTTTAGCCTTATAGGGCTGTTTTCCATTGTTGTCAATCTTAGCTGTTTCTTTGCAATATACAGTAAGTTTAATTTTGAAGGATGACAGAAGATTTCATTAGTTTTATAATTTCACAACTTATTCATTCATCAACTTATTCACAACAAATAGTCATTGGAATATTTTTCAAAAGTTCTTATTTCAAATCAGTTAGGTCAGGAATAATATTTGAACTCTTTTGTTGTCTCCTAATAAAGCGTTTTATAATATTAGAGAACAAAAAAACGATTTATAGGAGTTATTACAAAGCTACTGTTATATGATGAAAAAATAACTCTATACATACAAGTATTTTTCTGTTGGAGACAAAACTCAATTTCACGATAATTGTCAAGCCCCGAGATAAAATCCCTTCAAAACAGAACGACTTTCAACTACTATCATTGAATATTAGAGATAATACACTCGTACTTACTACGTCAATGCTACTATACTATTTTTGGCCACTGTCACAATAACCCTTAGTACTAAGCAAGCAAATGTGATATTGATGGAGGAAAATTCTACATGAAAAAGTTCTATGAACACATTTTTATATAATACATTCAATAATACCTTATTGTGTAATTTAGCAGACAATTTAGAGGTCCCCCGTCCAAAATACTTTTGGGAACCCTATATAAGTGTATAAATATAGCTTAGAACTTTTCATTGTAGACTTTTTAATATCAAAACTAAATCTCATTTTCTGACTATAACATTGAAGTTTATGATGTCATAAAAATTGAACTTGAAGGCAAGTATGTTTACACCTACGACCAATAGGAATTTTTATTACCAATGGTGTCTGAGCATCTTACACAAAGCTGTTTTTCAAGATGCTTTACTGTTTTTAAGAGGCTTGTTTTTCGGGTAGCCAGTGACGGTCATTCGTTTATTAGGAAGACAACAACAAATACACCATCTATAATGTTTAGAAACTTCCACCTTTTACAAACCAAAACTGTCATTTTTACAAACCAAAACTTAATTTTTTACAAACTGTTCACATAGACTTACTTTTCGAAGCTAAAGACTTTCGACCAAGAAGTCTACCACACTTGTCCCTGCCACTGTTTTAACTCACAGTGTTTCTTTCACAGAGTTTTCGTTTTACATACAAACGCAGGATTCCTAATTGTTATGAATCTTCAATACCACAGAAAAAACTAACAAAACCTGTATCACTGTAACTTTAATGGCTGGGGAGCTGCCAAAGTTGCCGTTTGCTTAAAATATTTGATATATGTCTGTAAGCATAATAACTCTTAAAAACCATCAACAACAACTTTGTACAAACTAAATAAGAAAAAAAGTTTGCTAAACTGCACAAATTGGCTTTGCAAAAGGGGCGCAAGTTATCTACCCAAAATTCATGTTTTGAATGTTGACATTCATTTGTGTAAAAAAGAAGCAATGCTACATTTAAATTCTATGCCTTTCAGTGAAATAGTGGTATTATTGAGTCGATTTTGCACTCGTCAACCTCATGTTGTTTGTGTCAGCTTGTTGTCATTGTACCATGTGTGCTATCATGCCAGCATGTTTGATGTGTTTTTGGTTGACAGGGTTTCTTCAAGGGTATAAAACATATTCAACTTTTCATTGTGACATATTTGATAAAGGTAAGAGGATACATCATGTTGTCCCTGTAGATATTAATTTTATTTAACTGATTCTCAGACACTCTAATGGTTCACTTATGATTTTACTTTAAATTTACACTGAATCAAACCACTCGTAACTTTATAGGCCTACTTTAGACTTTGAAATAAGATTGATTTACAATATTATCTTACTGTCAATACCGTAATGAGTATAAGCATACCTAGGTATTACTTTTCTTAGTACAGTATACTTATATAGATTATTTTTTGGTTCATAATTGTATTAAGAAAAAGAAAACGAATCCTGAATGAGAAAGGCTTTTCTCAAATTATTCTGTTATGTCGTTATAATGTCAAGCTAACCATTCTTCTAGTTTATTAGTTTACTATTATTGTTACATCGTTGTTGCTGTACCATCATATTTTACTCAGATGATTGGTGTCGTGGCAGTGCTAGTTGCTTCCCTATGTGGTTCCAATGCTTTGAAACTTTCTGGAGACTGCTTGGCTACAACTGCTGTAGAAACTCTAGAACTGAATTCTGTAAGTGTAATAGTAACACATTATTTAAAAATATTGAGCAAGCTTTTGGTACTTTGGCATTATACCAACCACAACTAATATATAACCTATCCTAACCTAAGGGTGGTTAGGTTAGTTTAGGAAGATTTTGTCATTTAAACTATCTAGCTGGCCTGACAGATGTCGTCTTGTCCTAATGTGGTTTTATGTCAATGCTCGTTCATTTTTAAGATGAGCTCGTTCGCATGGCTCAATCACGTCCTGGTTGAAGTTCGTTCGCTACGCTCACTCACCTTTAGGTTGGAGCTCGTTCGCTGCGCTCACTTGCCTTCAGGTTAGCTCGTTCGCTACACTAACTCACCTCCAGGCTGATGATGTTCATTCGCTACGCTCACACACCTTTTGGTTGCAAATTAGTTGTTGTCATAAATTGGAAAAAAATAATAGTATTGCACCCTGTTGGTAAACCTATTAACTTTTTAATGCTATTGAACATCACAGAATCAAATTGTTTAGTTGAACCAGCTGTTAAGAATCTTTAATTCCATTTAAATATGAGTACTCATAAGGTTAACATGGGAAACTCCAGAGCCACTCGGGCGAAGCCCTTTTGACGGATCTGCACCAAACTTCACACAAACCAACTTTGAGTAATGCTTAATAATACCTGAAAGTTTCATTACAATCTGTCGAGCGGTTTCGGAGTCCATAAAGGACAAACAAACATACATACATACAAACAAACATACATTGGATATAAGATTAAAATCTTATTTGAAAATAAAATGTATCTGTGTGGTCTGTATAGTACCAAAGTATCCAAGCTTTACTCAACACAGAAAAAAAGTGTTCAAAATGTAGAACATATGTGATGTTTGTTAGAATGTCATTCCATCATTCTGTTTCATTGTTTTGTACTTGCTGTTACCCGTCACAGCTTTCTGTAATTTCTCTTAGTACTTAATAGGTTATAAAACTATTATTTGTATGCTTTGATTACGTACGCTCTCTTCGAAGTCACAAAGGAAAACATTATCAGCATGACTCTACAAACTTTCTGTATTTCAAATTTGGCATAATTTATTTATATCTTTTTTAGTTCAAAGTATCTATATATTAATAGGCAAGCATGTTTCTTTAAAACCTTTTTTCTCAGCTCGTGTGTATCGTAGGGAAAATCTACGCATACCGTTAGAAAGCTATTTTCCTGTAGGTGTGCAGAATCCCTTTATAAATTAAAATAGGCTCAAAAATAAGCACAAAAAATGAATTTGAAATTTTAAAAAATTAACATGGGTCATATGGGTTGCTATGGTGATGACAAAATAACAACAAAATATAAACAGAAAATCAAAACAAATGGAAGACATTTCAATCACATGTTTTATTTACAGTGTGGGGTGAAAATAGAGAAGTTTGCACAAAACATACTTTTGGTCGATTTTTCGACCACGGGGCGTACTCTCGTAATAATAAAATTAAAGTTATTATAAAGATCACGCTTGTGTCTTTTCAGTAGCCTCTACTGAGTGGTTATTCAAACAACGTTTTGCCAGGGACCTCGTTGACGTGTTGGTGACTCAGCTGGTTGTGTCTCACAGTTCAGGCCCAAGGCTTCCAATAATGTCTTGGGCTCGGATTCTGGTACCTGCCACTACTTATCAGTAAAGTTCACCTTGTACTGTACCGGCTAACCCCTTCTTTGCTAGATACATTCCACACACACGTCCATATGTGGACGGGCAAATGCAAGGTCAAAAGAGGACCCCAATCTCTTTTAAAGAGATTCTAGTGCTCCAGTAGCTCTTAAACAATTTATTTGGTTATTTAGATACTCAAACAAATATTTAAAGTACGTTTTTCCAAAGTTTCATTTGCACTATAATCTGTAACCGATTGAAAATTGAGTAAAGTATACAATCGTCATTGCATGCGTTTTCTTGTTTGGTTATGTGGCCACTTATGATACCATTTACAAGAATTTAATCAATAGGATTTAAATAATTAACAATAACAGTAGTACAACTACATGAATAACTTTTATATTATGTTTGTCAGCTCGCAGGTACATGGTATGAGTTGGCCAGTTATGGGATGCCGTTCACCCATCGCATGGAGCGCTGCCACTCTACCACCATCACCCCCAACACTGATGGCAAGGGCTTTGTCATGACCAATGATCGAATAGTGAAAATGCAAGTAAAAGATGACCCATGAAAATGTCAAAACGTTTTGAAAATAAGTTTTACTAATTTGTTTTGGTTTTTTTTTTTGTAATTTAAAACTTTTATTACATTAAAATGTTTGCAAGCTCAAACCATTTAAGATATACACTATTTACTAAACATAGTTGTAGCTACACTTGTCACAGATACCCTTTACTTATGAAAAACAATTAGTCAGGTGGAGTCCACTTTCATTCATGCAGATTTCAAAAATTTTCTTAAATTCTTCCATTTCACGGACACCAATAATTTTGTCACCTCTACTTGGTTGATTGCGTCCTTAAGATCCGTCAGAGCTCGGGGTTTGTGAGTCTAGACGTAAAATTTGAGAACGCCCTGAAGAAAAATAGCAAATGTTTAAATCTTGGGACCCTGATAACCCTTTCTAGATACATAATACACATTACGGCCTGGTAGTGATAAATAATATTGAATATTGAAATAATATTGAAATATTAAATCCTGAGCAGTGTGCAGGATCTTGGTGAAAATAAACACAGGTCCTGCTAATAAAACGTGTCTGTCTCACTTGTGACGTTAAAAAAAGTAATTGAGCATACAGTATCAAGAATTACAAATCAAAGCTCGCCAAACCGTTTCAACATCTACAGCCTAGCAGTAATTTTTGGGCCAAGCTGCTTCTTTTTCGGATAGATCCCGTCTTCCTCTAATTGTTTATCCACCTGAAAATTGTATCACGCTGCACTGCCATGATAGGCCCGCTATTTCGCACATCTCATCCTAGGCAAACACACGGAGTTTATTGTGTAATGCTTCATGGCTAATAAAATGGCATAATATACAGAAATGAATGACACTCCTCCCCACTCGTGAATAAATGTCGTACGTATACTATCCCTTAAAAAAAGTGCATTAAGTGATTTGTCATTCTTATGGATCAGCCGAAGACAACTTTATTGTTAGTTCCATCCGGTGCCACTAGGATAAAGTTTTTGTTAACAATATGTTTATTTTTATATCAGTTAGATTCGTTTACAATAAAACGATCTAATCATAAACAATAACTCTTCCCCTAGCTATATTACCAAACAGTAAGCACAATTCGTGACATTAACCTTAAAATAACAGAAACGAGATTTTGTCTACACCACCCAATGTCACTAACATGAACTAGACATGAAAAACGAGCTTTAAATTTTCTATTGGGATGAGAAGTATACTTGTGTTAGATATTATTCGCACACACTTATTTCATTGATACAATATTAATCAGGTTTTCAACTATTTTATACCATTTTCAACTAACAGGTTTTATTCCACCTCCTTTAAAAAAGTTGGATAGCATGAACAACTTATATTTATGAAAAAATATTATTAATTATGGAAACATTAAACAGAAAAATAATCTCTCTAACCCATGAACTAGCTGTACTGTCACAAAACAAAATGTTAGCGGTTATTATGAACCAGTTAATAGTAGGATTTTACTGTAATTTGAAAAAAAAAATAGTCTCTCACAGTGTGATTGTAAAAGCTTTGTTGATGTGGATTGGTCCATTATATTATTTATGATTTTTTTAAATGTATCTATACAATGGAAAAGTTGTTTGAAATATTAATATCTGTTAAAGAATCAACAAACACATCACAACTAAGTGGAATGTGGAGGGAACCGAAGCAGCAACGGGAGAAAAACTAACTGGAGAGCTCACACTTAAGCTTAAATTGCCATGTAAGGACAAGTAATATTTGGTATTATATTCTATAAAAAAACTATTTTGTCCAGCTATTTATTGTTAAAGAACAGATAGATATCCGTTTTACACTAAACCGCACACATTGTAAAAATAATATCCCTGTTTTAGGTCAAAAATAATGAATTTTTTGAAGAGTTATTGATAACAATTTTTTGGTTTTATGTGTTCAAGATAAAGCTTGCTACCTCAACATTTGTATCATTACTATTTGTTGCAATAATAGCTATAAAAAATTATTTTCATGTAACAAATAACACAAATAAATAAATAATATTCAATTTCAGGTATGGCAAATAATAAAAACTGCCAATATTGTTGTGTATATTTTCCAGACTTATAAATATGCGCCATCGATTATATTTGATTTATAATAGAATGGCAAGTAGTAGGTCTATTATAATAATATGAGAAATGATTTACTTTTAGTTATTGGATCAGTGGATGTACCCTTCAAAGTGTTGGGATCAGACAACTACAAGAATTACATTATCTTCCATTCCTGCTATTCCTTTGGAGCTCTTTTTAAAGCAAGTAAGTAATTAAGAAGACAGAACAAATCAACAAACTACCACAATAATACACAACAATATTTAGTATCACAATAAATAGGTACAGTATTTCCACCAAATGAAATATAAGATCCACAATAATTTTATTTTAAATATGCTGCTGAAATAAATTGAATACCATTTATTCTAGACTAGCTAAAGACAAAATTGCTGTAGGAGTAATGTTGATTTAAAAGAATGGCTAACAACTAATCTCAGTATGCATACAGCAAACACTGCAAAATATATTTTGAGTGAGTTTTATTTAATCCTTTATCTAACTTTTATACATATATTTGAATAGTACAAAATTTAAAGCTTATTTTTTCTAGTTTTTAATATATTTTTAGCATGGAATAAAAAGTTAACACCTGTAGCAACTGCAACAAGATCTAAAAGTGTCATTCAGATATAAAAGATTTTTAAGACACCTCAAAATCAACATATCATAGTATACTTACACTATCTAAACTCTTTAATTTTGCAGATCTTGCTTTTGTCTTGACCAAGAAGAGGCACTATGAAGCCAAGGAGCTAGAAAGTCTGTATGCATCAATTGATGAAACGTTGACAAAGAATAGTCTTACCCGTAGTAAGTTCACTTTGGCAAATCAAATCGATTGCGAAGAGAAAAAAACCACTTCACCAACTGGTACTGATTCATCTGTGTCAACTCAAAATAACCCTACTACTGCTGAGGCATCTTCTACTTTAGTAGAGGAGGCAAAGACAACTGAGCAGACTGAAGATAAAACTGCCTCCAGTGATCAGCTTATCCCTTCTGAAACTGAGAAGTCAGAGACCTCAACACCTCAAGTTACGGAAGCATCAGAACCACAGCAAATCGAGAATCTTGCTGCACCAGCAACTGAAGACACGACTGTGCCAAAAACTAAATAAGCATATAGTATTGAAAAGAAAAAATAAAGTAGGATAAATTGATTTATTTATACAAAATCCAATGTGTCTTTTTGAACTGTCCTGAATGCTGTGAAACTTTGGGATATTGCACGATATATGCCTGGGACGGTTCTGTCTTTTCCAAACTTAAAATCCTTTAGGACAGCCCTGTGGGCTGTGGGCTAAATTAACTTATTCAGTGTTAACCATATAGCCGAATTAAAAAATACCCCCGCCACAGCAAATCTGCAGACTAAGTGAGTTTCCATGTATCCAAGTGGCTCTTTACTATTTTGCTTAACTTGTTGGAATTATTCCAGATTAAATAACATTAGATTTAACGAGCACTTTGGTTTGCAGCTCTGGGGTGTTTTTTTATAGTGTGTTAAGAGTCCTTGGAGCCTAGACGTTCTAACTTATTAAACAATTTAAAATCTACAAAGCATATTTCTAATCTCAAAGTATACTAGATATTTAAATTACAATCACTTTGGTATACGAACAAATATTTTGGGGTAGTAAAGAACTCTTCAGCGGCTGTTTGAAAATGACAAAATTAACATTGCTCTTATGGCGGCTAAATCAAAGATGGCCATTGGCTTCCATGGACTCCCTTGGAATACATACAAAACAACAAACAACATTAATCTCATCAGTATACTAGATATACATTATAATCACTTTGGTGTTTGAAAAACTATTTTTGTATGATAATTAACACTTCAGCTGCTGTTTGAAATTACCCAAGATGGCCGCTAGCCTCCAAGGACTCTTAATAGTAAAGGATGAATTAAATAAATTTGTCAAATTTAATCAAAATACATCCATAGACAAGCAAACTACAACAGTTTTATTTTTCTCCATAAGAATAATATGGGGCTATTTAAAATGTAGGCCTACTGTTATGGTTTATTTTCTCCCTAAACTTTAATTTTACAACAACGTTTCAATGTACAAGATAGGGGTTTTAAGCTCTACACTCTACACGATGGTTGTAACGAAAATTATTGGGTTACTAAGTATCAATTGATATTGATGTCACATCAAATAATATACTTTGTCTATTTTTCCCACGTTGAGCCCAATCTTATTTGTTTTTACACACATTAGACATGAACTGGGAAGGAAAAAATATTTAATGGCATTACAAAAGCTTATAACACATTTAAGACATAAGACATTTTATTGACCGTTAAGTAATTACAAAATACAATAGTCTTGTCAATTTTAAAATACATAGCTACATAAAAAAAGAAATTATATGGCAAGTCAGGTACGCTGTGATATTGGCTTATGGACTATTAAACATGAATCATAAATAATTTAAGAAAAAAACAATTAATAAACATTTCAGAACAAAATAACAAAACAAGCTTAAAATATCACAATTTATCGCTCAAAGTATTCCTCTACCGAGTACGTGGGATTTTCCTATAGCCATTTATAAAGTTTAGATAGAAACATTTTATCAGACTTTAAATTTACTGCGCAAGTTGGTAATTTATTGTAAAATATCACAGCCAAATAATCATGGTATTTTTGTGCCTTAGCTAACCTACATCTAGTAATATCTATTTTGTCCCTAAAAATAGTATTGTAATCATGAACATCACATGTAAATCTTTAATTATCAATATCTTTTCTTAAATTTCTAATGTCTTAAAAAATATAAAGATTTATCACAGTTAAAATACCAGTTTGTAAAAACAAAGGTCTGCAGTGTTCTGACTTTGATTCGTTTGTCAATATTCTAATAATTCTTTTCTGCTAAATTAAAACTCTATTAATGCCTATACCGTTTCCCCAAACGATAAGACTATATCTCAAAATACTCTCAAAATAAGCAAAGTATGCCATTTAGGATAAAGCTCTTAAACACGAATGACTTATTTTAGAATGGATACGTTTTACTACAAACCTGTGCTTAATAGTGATAACATAGTGTAATATTATGGTACAATACCTCGTCAAGTAATCTAATTGTTGATTGAGGTTAACAACCTACATGTTTCGCCGTAAATACGGCATCGTCAGGGTTACAAAAACGAAGACATCGATGTCACACGCACACGATAAATACACGGATACGAACATTTAATTACGGAAAGTAAACATTTAACTGACATTGATAGGCCTATCACACGCACACGACACGGACGGTCCCGGCGCAGGTAGTAGTCTATCTATTGGCCATCTTCAAACTTTTAACAACTGAGACTGGTATGTAGTTATTTCATGATTGAAGTAGTCCATATGAATTAGGTACACATATTACACAAACCCTGTTACTTAATTAATAGGTAACTTTAATCTATAAATAAAAACAAGGTACAGTAGCTAGAGGCTAGAAGGTCGTATTGGATCCAATATAATCTGTCACAGAGTCGATACAATTGGGAAAAAATGTATAATATGTTTTTGTTATGTGTTTATCGAGGGAGTCAGGATTTAGCCTGCGTAATTATTGACATCATAACTTTATCTTTACTGTATGCTTGTAACTACTTAGAGAAGAAAAAAAAATATCTGAAGATCTAAGTTCTTGCAAATACAGTATTTCCAAACTACTTTAATTTTAATAATTAATTTTGAAAGCCCCAGGATTGCATTTAATGACCCATAATAGCCAAAATATACCTCGCCAGATAATCCATAATATAGGTTGACAGTTAAGGTTGTCTGACAAGGTATATTCTAGTTGTTTTTATTTTTTGAAAATATTTTGGTAATTGTTTAACCTCTCCTGCGTATCTAAGCTGTCAATTTTACCAGTACAATACGAATCATCTATATACTAAATAACACAAGAGTTTTCACTGTAACATCTTTTTTCCAGACGTCCTAACAAATATCACTATTGAGGTGTCATTGAGTGTCATCATTACTATTGCGCTAGATCACAAGTAAAACTTATGATCTAGCGCACCTGCGAATGGCAATCAAAATGTTTATTACCTGTAAGGCTTCGCCCGTCATGTTTAATTAATTTCTAAGGCCCATTTTCAAAGATCCAGTTATGCTGAAGAACTCTGAGGGATAGTTAAGTTATTCATTTGATTATTGAACGTTTATTACCTTATAGCCTTTGTTCTTGTAGAAAGATGTTAAATCCTCCAATATATTTCCAATATATTCCAATAGGTATATATTTTTTTTAAATGTGTAAATAGATCTTCTCGTCTCCCTGATGATGCCACACACTGTGGCGAAATATATTGGAGGATTTAACATCTTTCTACAAGAACAAAGGCTATAAGGTAACAAACGTTCAATAATCAAATATTCTAGTTCTTGTCACTGGGAAATACATCAAATAAGTTACTCATGTTTTTTTTTATCATGACTGCAAATAAAACCTGCTGCTGGATAAATCCACAAGTCTAGCTAGTCAGGAGAAAATTTAAATTTTAGTAATTCATGTTTTAATGTAAAATACGCTAAGGTTCAATTATGATTCTTTTACTAACAAACAAACAAAAAATCATCTGTGGACGCTCAGTATAAATTAATTAATTCTTTTCATCCAGAACTAGGCCACAGTAATAAATATCCTTCACTACTAGGTAGTGCAAATCTTTATTTGTTCAGTTATAGGTGAATACAGTGAGACAGTCGCTGTTTTAACAGTTGTTTTGAGAAGTGACAGAGAAGGCAGACCTCTTCGGCGTGTCTTTGTTCTGGTTGATATGATCAAACGCAGCATCAATCTTCTTGTCAACGTCAGTCTTGTCATCGCCTTCCAACTTCTGTTTACGAGTCAAAATCCAACACGACTCTGTGGGAAACATTAGGCCTAATGTCATCGGTTTTACAATTACGCATATGACTACTGTTGATGAAAACAATATTATTGTGAACTCAAATTTATCAGGTGGAACTTAAGTATGAAATAATCATCAGACTTTTAAAAACAATGAAGGCAGTTTAACAATTTTTAACTTCACTGTTATTGCGAAACATCTAAAAACATTACTCTTTTAGAATAATTCACTAACAGACATTTGTTGTTTTAAGATAATTTTTTAAATCTGTTTCAACACAATCAGATAGACCACCACAGAGATATTTGAAGTTCGAACCTGAGTGTAGGGGATCGTTTCCAATTACAGTGGTAGTTTTATACAGTAGCAGTGAAAAAAACAGTAAATCATTTAGGTTGCCATTTAAAATTGCAATTAACCATATACATTATTTGAGTTATTATTCAAACAATCACAAAAACATTCAACATTCAATCAAAACATTAATTTAAATATTACTTTTTAGGGAGCAATTTTAAAGTTATCACGTATTATAAGAAGAACCTGTACATAGGTCCTGTTAATCTTGGTTGGATGTATGATCAATTTCTAAACATGTTTTAATAGTACTTACTGAATGGTATAATTACGGTTTTGCATGAGCACAGAATGGCAAAGTTGTTGTAGTCTGTGGCGAGCACTGATAGATCAGCAGTTTGTTGCCCCACTACAACAAATCAAAGGTAAAACCACAACAGTACAAACAATTACACCGTTGTTCTGTCGATACAATATCCTATTTGTATCGTTATTTAAGTCAAATCTACACAAGTAAATCTGTACATTAAAGTTCTGGTGCTATGTTTTCTTACAGCAGGAATTAAAGTACAATCTACGGTTGGAGAGGTCCATCTTAGGTGAGATTATAATAATAAAATAATTATTTAAATACAGTTTATTTTACCCTCCATAAAACAAGATGAGAATTTTAAACTTACAGTTAGAATTTTCTCCGAAATACTTCTGCGTACAAATAACGCTTCAATATAAAAAATTATTTGTTTTTGAAGCCCTACAATCTATATATATAATTCTGTAAGACCAAATTTTTACCAGAAAATTGAGGACGTCTGGTAAGTCGCAGAAACGTGGGAGGGGCCTTAAATTAAAGGTCTTGACCCCAGGGACTCGGGAAAAATAGCAGAATTCCCATAAAGTTACCAGAAAATGAGATATAACGTAAAATATCCACCATAAGAAATGCATGGGGACTGAAAAACGTCTGCATTCTATCAGCTGTTACTTATTTATTTGCAATGTTTACATTTATTCCGAAAGTCCATGTTGGTAAATAATTTTTCAAAATCTATCTATCTATATATTAATAGGCAAGCATGTTTCTTTAAAACCTTTTTTCTCAGCTCGTGTGCATCGTAGGGAAAATCTACGCATACCGTTGGAAAGCTATTTTCCTGTAGGTGTGCAGAATCCCTTTATAAATTTAAATAGGCTCAAAGATAAGCACAAAAAATAAGTTTAAAAGTTGTAAAAAATTAACATGGATCTTATGCGTTGCTATGCTGGTTACGAAATAACAACGAAATATAAACAGAAAATCAAAACAAATGGAGGAAACTCCAATCACATGTTTTATTTACAGTGTGGGGTGAAAATAGTTAAGTGAGTACATTACATATTTTTGGTCGAGTTTCGACCACTGGACGACCTCTCGTATATCTAATTCCGTAAGCCCAAAATTTTACAATGAAATTGTGAGCGAACGGGAGGACGTAGAAAGCTGGGAGAGGTCTCATTTTAAAGGTCTCTGCATGAAATTTTGGGGAAAATTATTCATTTTTCTTAATTTCTTACCAAAAGGTCGTTAGGTAGTAAAATAATTCACCTTTAAATAGCATGGGAATTTAGGTCATGTCTGCTTTGTTTACTTTACAACATGTGGTTTAACTTTATTTAAAACATATGGTAATGTATAGGCTACTATTAAAAAGCTGAAATAGACTTTTTCCCAATTTTAAGGGTCTGGATTAGTTAATGAAGTACGATTGGTTGTGTTCGGTATGTCTGAAAAAATGTAATGTTAAAAGTAATTACTGGAGTAGGCAAAGGGAACATATTTTTTATGCCAAAAATAAAACTAATATCTACAGATCCTAATATTACGTTTAAGTTTACAAGGATTCAATATCCATCAAAATTAGCTTTCGCTATTACTTATTATTAAAGAGCCAGGTCAAACCTTCACAAAAGTTGGCATTTATTTGAAAAAAGGGAAAAACTGTGTTTACCCATGATCAACTTTATGTTGCTTTTAGCCAGGTAAAACGGCCAGATGACGTTAAAATAGTACTGGAACCAAATAAAGACCAAGGAATCAACCAAAATGGTATACAACAAATGCTGTTTCCAGAGAGATTTTGTTATAGAATTTCTTTTATTTTTTGTTAGATTTTGTTATAGTTTTACAATATGGAGGATGACATTATATCTGTGTTTTATCTAAGTGAATTTGTCTATATTCAAAGAAATTTATATATATTTAATTAATAGTCATGAAGATTATTGTAGTTGTTCCTTAGTTGTATTATGATTAGAAAGTTTATATTATAAACACACGCATGATCAGTCTTTTGGAATTTTTATTTTAAACAGAGCGGACATCAAAAAGCATTATGCATGTACGTAATAACTATTTATAATTACAATATACAAAAATGTTAAACGACAATTCAAGGTAGGGTACGAAAACCCATTAGACTAATAATTTGTACAAAATAATTACTAGAATATTTATATACATATAAAGGGGCAATTGCCCCTACAAGCCGCTAGTCAATTGTATTTGTTTAATTTTTTTGTTTTCCATTTTTATAATGAGTGAAGTAACTATACAGGGTAGGGACCTGCAAGACGTGGAAGAGTGTCCAGGAATTCAAAAGATTTAAGAAATGCTGAAAGAGAATGTCATGTTGGGCCTAACTGTGAAAGAAATCCAGAAGCTGTTTTACAACCTGCCTTCAGAAGAACGCTGGAAAATGAGTTGAGTGTTGTTTCTCACAATCTAGGTCCTCTTAACAGCACTTGCATGTATTGTGGCGCACTTCACTTCGCAGAGGAGGCCACAAATGGACATTTCAACGCATGTTGCTACAATGGACATGCCACAACCACAAGTAAATGACGAACTAAAAGAACCGTTTTTACATGATTCGAACTTCATAAGAAACATAAGGCAATACAACAGTGCAAAGGCTTTTGCGTTGCTTTCCGCTTCAGGGACAAATTCATAGATATATATTTATGACTTACTACCGCGAAATGGGGGGCCTTCATAATAATTAGTAATAATTTTAACCTTTGGTTCTTAACAGTTGGTTCTAAAAATGGAAACTATAACAGAATTCGTAAGATTACAAAATAAATCTTCAATTTTAAACTAGAAAAGATGTGCAATGTTTGGCTGTATGATTTCAGCTCTGATTCGTCGTTCTCCGGGCTCAGGCAAAACCGTGTGCACGTTTCTATTTGTTAATATGTTGTGTTATTGATTTAATAATTACGGTATTTTACAATTATTGTATTTCATTGACACATCAGAAGCAACTAATATACGACTCCAGCGGAAGGAAAACCAAGATATACAACAAGAAACACTGTTAATTTTAAGTAACATAAAATTTATGATTTTAAAAACATATTTAGAATATTTGTCTTTTTATATGCATGTTTTTTTATTGTAGTCTAAATTAGGGGCTATGGCCCCTACAGGCCACTAGTAGTACAATATTTTGGAAATGAATTGAAAGATTTTATGTTTTTGGGGCCAAAAACGAGGAAAACAAAATTTTTGACCCGTAAAACTTCGTTCCAATAGATCGACCATAACGGTGCCGTTATATATATATACGACCTTACCTTGATACCATACATAGTAGCATACTTACTTAATACAATAATTTAATTCCAATTCCATGACCATGGTGAAGGGTTCACGTTACAAAATACAGATAAGTGTTAAATGTATTTTTAAATATGTTACATGACCATTTTTGTTGCGTTGCCTTAAAGCTAGTTCTGCTTAAGTAAAACATGGTAAAACTTACCAGGTGTATGTAGTGTTACTTTTAAAGTTCCCTCTCCCGATTTAGGATCTGATAACACCGCAGTTCCTTCAACATTTTGTTCTCCAAATCTAAATGAAACAACGACATAAAGCACTGTTCACACGAAACGATAATGGATTATTACTATGTATATAGAGTATATATATACAGGGTGAGTTTTAATTGTCCCCCCCCCTAACTTTTTTCTACATTTTTTCAAATATCAATCCCAGACGACTTCCAAACATTGTTGGGTAGTAAGTACTTCATTTTGACAAGGTGGTCATTTCCGGCCGCCATCTTGGATCCGCCATATTGGATGCAAAATTTTTTTTTCAAATGTAAAGGTGGGGTTGTGACCCATTATTCCGAACTACATTTTTACCCTGATTACAATGCCGCAAACCGTTTAAAAAAATCTTTATTCATTATAAAGTTATGAGGCCTTTTTAAAACTTTATTTTTAGCCCATTTTAACATTGTGCTTGTACAAACTAAGACCATAATCTCAAAATAGTGCTAGATAAAGATAAGTATACACTACCAGTAATTGTCGACCTATTTTCACTTGGTTATGACTGATGTATTTTTTTCGGCCGCCATCTTGGATCCACCATTTTGAAATGTGATAAACTATTTTAAATATGAAGAGGGTGTTGTGACCTATCATTTTGAACTACTTTTTTAAGCTAAACTCAATGCCGCAATCTATTTTTTGTTATCAAGTTTTATTTATGAAATAAAGCAATTTTGTTGTTAAAAATGTCAATATTTCAAAATAAAAAAATGATAATGAAAAACAGATAATGGAATTAAGTTCAGCTTAAAAAAGTAGTTCGAAATGATGGGTCACAACACCCCCTTCATATTTAAAATAAATTATCACATATCAAAAAGGCGGATCCAAGATGGCGGCCGAAAAAAATACATCAGTCATAACCAAGTGAAAATAGGTCGACAATTACTGGTAGTGTATACTTATCTTTATCTAGCACTATTTTGAGATTATGGTCTTAGTTTGTACAAGCACAATGTTAAAATGGGCTAAAAATAAAGTTTTAAAAAGGCCTCATAACTTTATAATGAATAACGATTTTTAAAAACGGTTTGCGGCATTGTAATCAGGGTAAAAATGTAGTTCGGAATAATGGGTCACAACCCCACCTTTACATTTGAAAAAAAAAATTTGCATCCAATATGGCGGATCCAAGATGGCGGCCGGAAATGACCACCTTGTCAAAATGAAGTACTTACTACCCAACAATGTTTGGAAGTGGTCTGGGATTGATATTTGAAAAAATGTAGAAAAAAGTTAGGGGGGGGGACAATTAAAACTCACCCTGTATATATATTATACTGCCGAAGTGTTAGTAGTCTAAAATGCAATATTAATAAATTTTTCAAATTTGGAAAATAAATCCAAACTACAACAGTTAGCTCCATAAGAATAAATTGGGGTAACTAAACGTACAGTTTTTTTCTGGAATTTTCTTCATGGCCTTAAATCACACAACTACACTTCAATGTACGAAATTGTTTTTTTAAGCTCTATGCAGTGTCAGTAGTGGCAATGGGATTTTTTAATGTTTTAAGGGTAAATACTAGAAAAGAAAAACCATTTTTGAAAAAAAAAACATCACACCCCTTTCTCATGAACCAATCATGCTGCTTTACGAACTCAATTCAAGTTCATCCAGCTTACAGAATTAGGCAAACTTTCATGAAAATTGGACCAAAATTACTCGTGTTGTAGTCTTTATGAAGCCATTATATCCATCCAAAATTTAACGATTGGTGTTTTTTGTTCTCTTGGGACATAAAAACCAAACAAAGTAAATCGGCCCTGTGTCCTGGTTCTTACCGTACCTCATACATTGAAAACCTGCTAAAATAATGTAGTTCTTTAAATCAACAACAAACGGTATACCTATGCATGTAAATAAACCAATTAGAGAAGGTCATAGAAGCACGGGTTAATGCAACTACAGTAGTATAAAAAAATAATCTTAACTATATAAACACCTCTGTCCTCCGGTACTAAACTACTACAGGTTTCGTTTATTTATAGGCTTAAATACATCTAATTGCACCCCTTCAAGCAAAAGTGATTTATTGCTACTGTAAGAATATTTTATGCTTTAGAAACTAGCATATCGGATAGGTTGTGCTGAAAATAGTTATAACTTTAAAAATATTAGAGATAAACCATATCAGACTGACTCCATTAGGAGTTAGTGTCACGCGCACTGGTCTACTAACAACATTGACCTTGAAGTAATTACCATTACACCTCTAGATAGTAATTAGTAATGACTTACAAGCCTTTCTGGCTGTTGTGGACGCTGACTGAGCCAGTGTCGACCAGGGCGTACTCTGCCTTCGCGCAGGAGCCCGGGCCTTGGAACCAGAACGTTCCCTTGCTGGCCTGCTGGTACCACGTACCCATAAACTGTTGCAACAAGTTACAGAAATTCAGTAATTCAAATAAACAAAATTTTGCACTTTAACAATCCATACGATCAAAAATTTTTGGTTCTTTGTATCTTTTTTATTGGTTAGTCCTTTCTCTGCTACTTTGGCCACATTTTTAATTTTGGAATTGCAACTCGTCCAATGTGTGCATTGTTAGAGATGGACTGGCTAAAATAAAACCATATAATTGGTTGAGCAATTTTCTTAGTCAAATAACCTTTTTACCGTTAGCACACCCCCTACACTAAAAATGTTACCGCACCCCGGTGCCCGGCGGTCAGATTTCTGCATCTCTAAAACTTTTATTAGCTAATAAAAAAATACTAGCCTAATAATCTTTTATTAATTGAAATAAACCTCTTAAGTGTTTGTTTCAATTATTGCCTAGGCATAATCTTGTTCGAATATCACTTGTTCGATTTCAAGCGATATTGATACTGGGCGCAGATGTCATTTGTCATTGGACTACGTATCAACCAATGATGCTAACGTAACAAGACCGGAGTTTGGACAACTCCCATAAAAAACTGCCAGAGTCGTAAATGAATAGGATAAAATAAAACAAATCCGCTACAATATTAAAGTATCGTAATCATAGATAACGACTAACACCTACCCCCATTTTCAACATCTAGCTGACAGCCCAAATTAACAATTGTAAGCTGTTTACTTTCAGTGAACCACAATGTCAATAGTACTATATTGGGGGTACATAAAATATGTTTTGTTCCTCACTTTTGATACGCCTTCTACACATCTTAAGAATGGTTTTATTTTATCCAACGGTGTCATTATTTTCCAATCGGTTAAACCTGCAGAAGAACATTCAGTCCAGAAAATATAGAGTAAGTAATGTAACAAAAATAGTTATTTGTGTAACTAACTAGGCACTTTGCGCTCGTGTAACACATTATATTTGTCCTACAGTTACTATAAAACATTGAAATCGTCAATCTTTCAAACACTAAACAACACGCTTTAGGTTAGGTTAAGTCCAAGCGTTGAACGAAATGGAAAACACTGCACCAGCTTATCGTAGTCGTAGTATTGCCAACTTATTTTCAAGCGAATAAGTATTACGTGCCTAATGAAAGCACAATGTTTTGTGTTATCGGTTGGAATACTGGAGTGCGGCAAAAAAGTAGTGTGGCAAAAGTAAAACCAGTGCAGCAAAAGTAAGTAAATGCAGCAATTAGCTATTTTGCGTGCTATAATCACTACAAGAAAGCCCGCTTTGTCAGGTAAATGTAGGAAAAAGAAAATATTTACCAGTCCTGATTTCACAGCGATAAACTACAAATTAACTGCGACATGAAATAGCCAGGCGGTTAAAGTTATAACTACATCGATGGCCACTACAATAGCACCATTAGCGAATCCTGATTAGCTTTAATGGCTAATGAGGTAAGGTAAATAGTAATTATTTTATCCAAAATATTACCGCATTCACGTTGAAATCTTTGACCACGGGCAGATGAGGACAGCCGAAACCATAAGCTGACTGGAGGCCGATCACTGATATCAAAGAAACAAACAGCAACGTGCGGTACTGCATTCTGTAAACTAACATGCGGATATAACTTGAATACACTTGAAGTAATATAAGCAATAGCATATGTGTATATTTGTATTGCTCATCAGGGACACAAGCTAACAATTAATATTTTCCTACAGTCACCCTACAAAGTTGGCTTCCTTGTACTGTTTATAGCACAGAAAGCTGCTAATTGCTGCATATTTATACTTTGCCGTACGGTTTATACTTTGTCGTACGGTTTATACTTTGCCGCACATCAGGATTCCAACGAAACAACACAAAACAGCGTGGTTCTATTAAGCACGTAATCCGTGTACGCTTGGAATTAGGTTGGCAACACTTAAAGATAATAATACTATGAGCAGCTGATTGACTATTATAACTACGATTTAACCTGTCATTTCGTGTTTATAGTTTCGGTATTTCTGAACTTTCTGGACTTTTCTTTTAAACGTTTTTAAAACATTCCTACGATCTAAATAAACAAGAAAATTCCCTTAAAGCATTTTTTTAGGCGCGGAAACTACTTCAAATTACAAAAGCATACGGAACTATATTCTCAAAACGTGGAGCACATTTCTTGCCGAGGAAAAATAGCGGAGTGATACGGACTGCGGGTACTACTTTCTCTAGGGCACCATTTGTGTTGCCAGCTGAACCTAAAAACGTGTTGTATAGTGTTTGAAAGACTAATTATTTATATGCTTTATAGTGACTGTAGGAAAAATGTAATGTGTAACACGAGTGAAAAAGGTCTTTGCTGCACTCGAGATCATTCCGCACTCGCCTGCGGCTCGTGCGTAAACATTGCTCTCGTGTGCAGCAAAGTGCCACTTTCACAACTAGTTACACAAATAACTATATAAATCAGTTTACTAAAACAGTTTTGATTGGAAAGACATTAAATAATATTTCTAATTAATCAATCATATTTAACCTCAGGCATATCTAAAAACAATTAAGTACCAATTTCCACCATTCTTTTATTTTATATGCTAGCAGTTTCCGCAGCTAAATGATCCTGTTGTAAAATGTTAATCTAAATTTACCACTTTACAAGTTAAGTTTAATATTTACATGCTAATGACGTAATTCAATTTTGTTACAACGATCCTGCTTAGCAATTTATTGTTGAGTAATTCAGTAATTCAGTGTTCTTGCAAACTTGTTTATAAAAGGAAAGTCACTAAAACATGTTCATGAGTAGTTAGGGTTTCTACAAGGAACACAACGATGGTCGTCGCGGTTTACTTGTAAGACAGGAATTACGCAATAATTTTATTAACAACTTAATTTATAGAAATTGTTGGGATTTAAATTGAATTATAGTGGAAGTAAGCTAAAACGTAGTTTTCATTAGCTAGACCCAGACAAGAGTTACATGTGCATCAACTGGACTGACGTAGAAACAAGAAAATCGAGGACGGAAATTGACTTTTGATCAAAGGAGACAAATTAAAATGTCTCCGCATGAAGCAACTGATAAGTCAAAACTACATTGCCAGAGCTTGTCCTCTGGCCAGTGTTATACTATGTATGCTTATGTTTGTGTATGTATTTTTATGCAAATGTTATCTGACAACTTGATTTATTATTCTCTATTTTGCCAAATAAATACAGAAATGGCTTAGTTAAATTATTATCTGATAAATACTGTTTTACTGTCCTAGTTTACATTGTTTTTTACGATCTAACTAGCTAATAAAAATCTATAATTTAATATACTACAATATCAGGGAATTTATGCGTAAGTTAAAGGAAGTTATGAATAAGGTAGCTTCTGCTGTACCAGATTGTTAAAGTTTCAATTATTGAAACACTATGTATGATATGTTGTCCGTAGAAAGATTATTTATCGCAAAGCAAATTCAATTACTGTATGTACAGTAAGAGTAAAAATGTTACTAAATATCTAGCGGAATACGTTAGCAAAGTATTACGTGCGATTGCACTTCATATGGGGTAAATATTGTCCATTGTATATTGCTGTGTCAGCAACAATCTAAATAATGTTTGTTTACTCGGTTGCAAACATTCCAATATTTTACAACCCAGTGAATCATTAAAATATAAGATAAAAATTGAAGATGACGAAAAATATTCACTAATATGTTTCTTTAGGAACTTTGAAAAGTAACATAGTATTCCCATCATTTTTGAATATATGATGGGTCTTCTTTTTTAACATTTCATAGGTAAAACTTCAAACTCCGTTCAAAAGACACGAAAGCAAAATAAATAGATCAAATAACGCAGGGGGATAGGGGTTCTAGTAAAAAAATAAAAAAAATGGAATAGGAATATTTAAACTTTAGTCAAATGTTAAACATGTAGGCTTACCCTATCTGCCTGAAGACTAGTTGGACTAAATCACGGTAGGGAGTACAACACTAATCAAGCTAGTTTCGAAAGAGCTTATTGCCTTTTCTTCTGAAGATAGCATGTGTCATAACAATGTTGGTAACGATTCGTACCAGTTGATTAAACATTTGCCGAAGGCTACGTAATAGGGTACATTCGGAGACATGGTAGAAGCCAAACAAACGTATATAAACTGTATCAGCAAACTCACGCACATGTTCTCTTTGGGAGTAACAATGATATTTTATTGGAAATATCACAAAAAAATAAATAGCTTTTGAACCGCATTTTTTGCAGCATCGGGGGTTGTATTATTTTGTTCTGAGCACAGAAGACAATTAAATATAAAATTCTAATAACAATTAATTGTAGGAGCGGTTTTCATGAAATTCCGATCTTTCTATTTTTAAGAGGAAATCATGAATAAAAACAAATAGTTCGTCTGGTAGCCACAGAAAAAAATTCATCCAAACACACATAAACACAATCATCAATTTCAAACCACCACTTTTGGGTTCAGGGGGGCCAAATCGATGAATATTTCCACCCAAAAGTCAAACACGAAGATTTTGACGAAAACAATAGGCCTAATTTGTCCATATACTTTGTATAGGAGAAGAAAATGACAATATAAATAATAATAATAAATCCTAAAATAAATATGTAGGTAATATCATAGATTAAAAAATATGTTTTATACCTGGTAATATCTCTTATAACTGGACCTGCCTTCATGGATTGGAATACAATGAAAAGTAATGATCAGGTAAGTGACTTGGATTCTTGTTATGTTGGGTGGGAACCTTGAGGCTGTATAAAAATCGAAAGGTTAAGGGCAAATCAGTTTGTTATGAAAACTACTGGCTCCAACTACACACCTGTTCTACGTTTTAACTGCGAAGATTGCTTTATCTCGTAAATAAGTAATCAGAGATGTTACTAAAATTTCAGATTCCTAAAATACTCTTAATCCCTGAATGGTAGTAATCCCTGGTTTTGATTTGCGAATTTAAATTTCCTTTTTTCACTGGTATCTTGTTCCTTTTATATGTCACTCAACTGGATTAGTATCCTGTAATTATTACCTGTAAATCTTTTAGCAAATGTTTAATTTTTGTTGTAAAATGTTAGTTGTGAACTTAAATAACAATGTAAGCTACAAACTTATTTCAAGAATGTAGTGTAGGCGTAGGAAAAAATCTTAGGAGTAAAGAGCCAACATAGGTCCGACACTAAATACTGTAGGTGTAAGTCGTACATTGTGTTTAGTGTGGGCGGAAGAAGCAGACTTGATAGCCAACACAGTAAACTAGAAAAGTCTTAGGTGTATGAGGATGTTTCTACACACATGGTAAGGAAGCATTGAGGCAGTAGATTAATCATAAATAATTTTATGCCTGCCCCAAGCAATTTTAATTGCGTTAATATATTTCAAATTTTAGCATTGATGTACTAAGAATACAATGGCAGGGTTTATAGTCTAGGCAACGAAAAGTTAAAGAGGGAAGTGTTTGGAACACAATAAGTTTGTATTTCGTAACTTTGTTTGAACTAGTTAGGAGGTGGACATATCAAAGTTCCCCTCGTATAATTTGAGCCAGGGGGGGAGGGGCTTGAATCTACCATTTCGGGTTCTTATGCGGAAAATTATGCGTCTTAGCGAAATTAACACCCTTAAGAAACGAAAGATTATTAGATGTATACTAAGTGTTTTATGTAACATTTTTTTATATAGTGTAGCCTATAGTGTTCACGTTTTCTGCAACTAAAAATCTGTATATCTACAAAAACACATATCTTCTTCACACTTATGTTCCTTTTGACCCAATAACTCTCCGAATATGCACCAATGAAATTAGTTCTAGGAGGAGGGTTGTAGAGCATCAAAATCCCTTCAATAAAATATATACATTTACCTTTTTGGAAAATTGTACCTTTGACCTCCCCCTGGCTCAAACCCTACACGAGCGGGGACCTTTGATATGTTCACCTCCTAACTAGTCTAAACATAATTACGAAGTAAAACATTGTGCTTCAAACATTGCCCTCTATATCAGTTTTTAAGCTACGTTGCCTGAACCATTAAATAGGTAGGTTAAAGAAATTTTGCTCTTAAAAAAAATTATTCCTCTAAAATATCTGCGACTGAGTCCCAGAGTTAAACAAGTCATGCAAATTATGAGGTAAGTTACTGACTCCACTCGTTATATGTGTGGGAGAGATGCAGCCAAATTCAGCTAATGAACTTCCCATATAGACTACCTCTACCGTGCGTGGGTTTGGCAGACTGAGCCCTGTGGGTAAGCAGACCCAGACCGAGATGTTTACTCGGTGCATTACTATGTAGTTACTATTAATAATTCCCTTTAGCAAAACATGACTTACAGTGGGATATTTCCCGTGTGTGAAATTCACACACTTATTATTACTTATTTAGTAGAGTGTTTCTCATATTCAAAAAATGTACTAAGGCTTATAAAAGTTGTAAAAAATATGTAATTTTTAATCAAGTTTGAAATGTTGCAAGCCATTATCGATTTTAAGTCAGTATTACCTACTGCCAAATACTATAATACAAAAATATCTATATTTAAAGTATACAAATATAAACTACATAAATGAAATATATAAATTAATAATACATTTTGAAAGTGATTTTTTAAATCAACGTTATCTTTGTTTGTACCAAAATCTTTACTTATTGCTTAAAACTGTAACCTATTAACTGTAATCTATTATTTTGATTATTCATATACAAATTTTGCAGCAAAAGCAATTGCTTAGTTAATTTAAAAGTAGTTTCTATCATAAACCAAAATTTAAATTGTTTAATTTGTATATTTTCGTTTCTACTTCAAATACTGTAAAAGGGTCCAGTCCTCTTTTTTATATTTTACAATATTAAAAATACCCATTTCAGCAAACCTGCATTGAAGTGAATTTCAAGCAGAAAAAATGCTAAATACCTCACCTAAAATGCTAAGAGATATTTAATAAAATGACACTATACATTGCTCACATGTAGAGAAGTTCTCTTTCAATTTAGCATACTTTACATTCATTGTATACATCTAAAATTAATCAAAAACCAAGATTTTCGATGCTAGGTTCGAATTGCTACGTTCCCATTAGCAACAAACCTAAGTACAGTCATTGACTCAATATGATTACTGGTTGTTCCCAAGTCTATGTAAATAAAAGCTATACAAAACGATTAAAAATCCGCTTAGTCTGCAGGGGTTCTCCGAAAGAGAAAAATCATACAACCCTAAGTATATGTAACTTTATAATATCATTAAAACGATTATGAAAATCAAGGTTTACAAAAATGATCACGACAATATTACGATTTTGAATAGAGAGTAAATTACATCTTGTTGCAAAAAATAGATATATCTATGTATTCTTTCGTGTTATCTGTTCATAACCACCACCCACTATACATTGTTTTCATGAATGTCACGAAATTTACCATGGGTGTTTACTACTTATCGGTTGAAAATTATGATATTTCATATTACATACAGCAGCTTTGTAATGTAAATAATTGTTAAAAAGTACGTCCACGCTATAAAAACTCCCGGTAAAGGAAATAAATCAGTTTGTTAAATGTTTTACGAATGAGGTGTCAAATGTAAATTTATATCACATAAATGCAATTATCTTATATTGCTCCACCACACAGTGCATATTATATGGAACCCTTCAAGAGGCCTGTAAATTACGAAAAGTTCTTACTCAAACTTTACATTTCAATTTCTCGTCCAATCAGTAATTTCAAACTTAGTAAATGTTTCTTCGAAAACAAGCATTTTAAACATTTCAACAGAAATTGTTTGGCCTATGATACGCCTTTTTTTACCTATAGAGAATGTAAAACAACCATTGGTGCAATAACTGCTGAATTAAGGCAAAAACCAATGGCCCAGCCATATAAAACAAATAAATAAAGGTAGAATTCGTTTTCTAGGGGGTTTCTCGTTTATTAGTAGCGTGTGTTTTTAGCATTTATAGGTTATTGGGAATCCATTCATAAAAAAATCTGAAATTTAATTTGATACAATTTAAATATCTTATACGTAATGAGGCTAAAGAAAAATTAACTTTTTCAAGTTAGACAATTGATTCCTGAAACCTAAATAAAAAAAATTGTATTACGTAAAATGTAAAAATGTATATACTCAACTTATAATACAGCTAGCTGCCAACAATTTCATTCTTAAGACTATTATGAATATAAAAGTATTTTGGAAGATGCATTACTTGTGTTGAATACATAAGCCATTTTTGTTCTTACTGATGTAAAAAAGTAGGTAAGGTGTCCATAGTGTTAAAGAAACATACCGATAACCTAGGTATGATGGACTCTATTATTTAGAATAGGCTGAAGCTTTCAGAAACTTAATAATATTTATTTGAACATGTTTATAAATCAAATGTAGGTTAAACATGTCTTTTATTCGTAAGTCACTTCTTCGAATAAATAATGCAAGCCACATATATAAGCCACTATAGTATTTTATATTAAATTAATAAAATACGTAACGACATTCTCTAAACTAAACCTTATTTATCCAGGATATGAAAGAGGAATTTGGACACTTGGGTGACAGCTGTTTAATTAAACAGTCACAGCTGGGACAATAGTGACGACATAACACTGGAACCGTTTGTTATTAATTGTAGAGTACAGTAGACGCGAACACAACAAACTAAAATAAAATTAATGGTGGAATGGGTAGCGTTGAAATATAGGTAGTGGTTAAAATGATCTCTAGATAATGATGGTGAAGATAGTAAACCACTTTTAGACCACGTTAAAGACTTAACTTTTACCATCTTTATAACAAATTGTATTTTATCTAGCTTGTAATGATTTTTGGGGCTATTATTAGTTATACTTATTTGTTTGGATTGTTTTCAAATGTTATTGTGAACCTGGTAGTTTTTGATCTAACACAAAATTTATTTTGGAAAGTAAAGATAAAGTTAAAGTTTTATTTGAAGTTGTGAATCTTACATCTTACAGCCACTTATCCATCCACACATCCGATGGCATTCAGTTACGAAT